TTAATGCGATAGAAAGAGCGGCACAAAACAGTGGCCTAAACATTAACGAAATAAAAACCAAATATATAAAGACCAGTAAATCGAACAGGCCAAAGAAACCTACAGAATCTGACAATAGAAGACAACATCGAAAGTGTGAAAAATTTTACATATCTAGGTTCACTAGTTATCGCAGATAACAATTTCAGGGAGAAAGTTAAGAGAAGAATACATATCGATAATAAAACATATAACCGACTAATTAAAGATCTAAGATCTAACAACATCACAAGAGAAACCAAATGCAAAAAGACGCTGATAAAAACCGGTCCTTGTATATGGATCAGAGACATGGACCACGTTCGAAAAGCGATGAGAACCTATTAGGTACGTTTGAACGAAAAAATCCTTGGACACATATATAAGGGGGTGAAGGAAAATTACATATGGCGCAGAAGATATAACTTTGATTTATACACAGCATACAATGAACAAGAGGTCATAACATCCATAAAGATCGGACGTCTGCGCTGGATGGGCCATTTTGAACGGACGTTGGAGACTGAAACACCAAAACATATAAGGAGCCAAACACCAGTAGGGAGAAGGTCAAAGGGAGGACCCAAACTTAGATACATGGAACAAGTGAAACAAGATCTGAAAAGCAAGGAACAGAACAGAATGGCGGAAAATGCTAGAACAAGCCAGGACCCAGAAAAGGTTGTCGAGGTACTGATGATGATGATTAGTTTGTTAAGTTGAAATTTAAAATTTTATTTTTCGCTAAATACACAGCACCTTATAATAGAACCGACAAATCTATCAAATCAACAAAACAAGGCTTTACTATGACTAAAATAAAGGCAAACAATAGAGAATACCACCATAAAACAATTCTTTTACTCATCAGGTTGTCCATAATTTATGAAAAAATTGGTATAATATCATTAAAAGCATATATCGAATTATTAGACTCAAGCATCCGCTTTAATGAAAAAATTTTATTCTAATACCAAGTTCAATAACTATTTTTATATTGTATTTAAAAATTTTTAAAAATCGTACACTATTAAAGATAAAGTTTTATAAAATTATATTTAGGCTTATACCATTATCTTTTCTAAAGTAAAATCTATTTATACTTAGGTGGCAACTGTTGCCGCCAAAACTCCTGTCTTTCCTTTAAATAATCCACGGTTTCCTTAATGCACTTCTCAATAGAGTCATTGTTTTCCTTAAACTTGCATTTAATGTCTGGATTATTCATCAAATTATCCAGATAAGCTTTATCGACTTCCAGTTCTCGAAGAAGTCTACTCTTTTTGGAGGTTTTCGATGAATGGGTAGCGACAGCTGTACTCTTAGCACTCGTCTTTGATTCAGGACCTACAAATAATAAGCATTCGTATTAAAATACACAAATAACTATAACGATATAGTAAAAGAGATCTATATGGCCATATTAATTGATAAAAAATTATAGATGGTTCTTCTGAACAATCTGAAAATGTGGATTACTTCTAGATTTGTTGCAGTATATTTGCTTAATTTATATAAAATATTTAAAAATTATGTAAAATAATTTAGTACTCTAAAAATATATTAGTCTGATGAATGCTACTCTCAAAATTAAATGGATCTAGTCAAGATCTCTCCAGAGCTATTTTAGACATATTCTTAACATATTAAAAGCTTTTTCTTCTTCTTTTATGTAGGCATTGTTTTTCTTCTTCTGTTTTTTATGGCTTTGCTGCAAGGCGATTCGCCAGCACTATTTGATGGCGACCGTGATGTAATCTGGTTCTAAGCCATATCAGGGCTCATCGAGCAAAAAGACAATAGAGGGAATGTAAAGGTAGTGGGGGCAAACATATTGTTAGACAGGAAGTGCGATCTTTAGAGGCCACATTAAACAAGGAAAGAGAGTCTCTCTCCTTGTTTGACATCAAATTTAGTTGGGTTATGTTATTGTTTGTCCCAAATGTCTCATGAAATCTTATTTATATTGATGTTTTTTAACAATTGTGTCGCATTTTAGACTCTTATCATTAATAATTAATTAAAACTTTCTCGTCTAAGACACATTCTGAAAAATATTATATAGCTACTGTTGATAAGTGTCGGAAAATTTAAATTTCGCGCATTCGCATTTCCGGATATGTCCGCCATCAGAGGCCACTTTTTTGGTCTCCTTTTCATAAGGATTAGATTCCCTCTTTTGTCTTATTGCTCGATGTCAGGGCTGCGGTCAGGGCCACTGACATTTACGTAAGGTGGTAGTAGTTTTCTCTGAATTTTTAAATTTGAGGTTAGGTAGTTATAAACACATATTGTAAACAAATGGTTTGGCCACGTACCTAAGAGGTGGAGGCCATAAAACGAAAGAAGTAAACAAATGGTAATGGAAGGGTTACATATTACACAAAAAACAGGACGCCACAAAGGAGAAACTGAAAGGCAAAAACATTGATTTAAAGTTGAGCATCGTAAATTACAAATTAATTTTATTATAGTCAAGAAACTGTAAGATTGCACTGGCTGACTTTTCATTAGGAGATATTAGGATTGTGTCTATTGAGATTGGTGTTTTGAATTTCATTGAAATAAAAATTGAATATAAATCCATGTTAGGAATAACATTAATGGGGCATTCAAAGAAAATGTGGTTTAAATCTTCCACTGCTCCGCATTCAAATGCCGGACTGTCTATTATTTTAATTTTAAAAAGATGTTGTATAGTTAAGTAACGACCTGTTCTCATTCTTATTATTGTGGTGATATGTTTTCTGTTTTTAAATGTTAGGGTTGAGAACCATGCCTTAAAGAAGAAATAGGTTTGGATTTTCGTATATTGGTAGTTTTTCTTCCGCAGTATTGCTCCCCAATTGATTTTACATTTATCGATAATTTTTTCCTTTATGGTGTTTAGAATATCTTGGGAATCTAATAACATAGCTAAGGGGAATATTTAAGTTTGTTCCTATTTTGGCTAGTAAGTCAGCTTCTACATTACCAGGAATATCAAAAGGACCTGGAATCCATTAGATTAAAATGTCAAAACAATTCTTAATTGTTGATGAGATGAGATTTTTAGTTTTGAGGGAGATTGAGTCATTAGAAGCATTGTTGCATTATTGAGAAAATGTAGACAAGAATTTCTGGTGTTATATAAAGGATCTGAATCAGAATTTTGGATATGTTGCAATGCACTGGTATTCAAGGCTAAGTTTTGTTGAGAGTTAAAAGAAGATTTTTCTGGTATATTTGTGTTATGGGATGTTAAGAATTGTTGTTGAGAGAGAGAGAGAGTATGACAATTTTTCATGTCGTAAATTAGGGAAAAGAAGGTTTTCTCCATGCGCTTTTTTGTCCTATCATTTTTGAATGACTCTTCTTTTGCTATTTGTATTAGAGACCACCTGTTGGAATGAACGCTTCGTAGTGGAGGATTTAAAGTTATAAGTTCTTCTTTGGGAGGGCATGACAGAGTCGTTAAAGCTAGCATTAGTGTTTTGGTTATTCCTAAGAGCTGGGAAGTCACCTGCATGCATGACAAATTTATTTTCTTCTACGTATGTTTTTGGAATAGCTTCATTTGCATCAAAAAATGTCATGTTTTCGAAAGCCATTAGCTCTTCGATATTTTTTGCCTAAGGAATTCTGGGCAATTCTTGTCTGTGGCTTTATGTGTTTCCTTACAGAAGAAGCATTTGAATTCACATACTTCGGAATGTGCAAGTTTACCGCAGTTAATGGAGCGATCTTTACTTTTACCATTTGTTTTCGTATGAACGAACCTCAGACAGTTAAAACACTGTATAACTGGTGCAATATAAACATTAACTAAAAGTTTAAAGTAACTGTGGCATTTTTATAAACTTTTCTATTAAGTCTTCTAACATTTAATATTTTACTATGAGTACCAGTACTACAACATTCTAATAATTCCTTATCACCAATCTCTATGTCTATTTGTCGAAATATGCCCTTGCAAGTTACAAAATTAAAAGGAATATAAATCTTATATCCCTTGTCTAGTAGAATTTTATTATTTAAAAATTCGTTTGCTGATGTGAAATTAATAAATTCAATCGCAATCCTATTTAAGCCTTTACTACATACATCTGTCACTTCAGGGGTGCCTCAAGGATCGGTTCTTGGTCCTCTTCTTTTTTCAATATATATTTCCGACCTGTATAACTCTTTAAATAATTTGAAATTGCACTCTTTTGCAGACGACACACAACTGTATTTCTCTTTTGAACCTAAGTCTGTAAATCAAGCGTCACAAAAAATAAATCAGATTTGGAATCTATTTGTACTTATTCCACTAGACAAAATCTTAAACTAAATGCTAAAAAATGTAATTATTTGTTATATTGTTTCAAAAAATTATAAAGCCACTGTTCAGGATAACTTAAAAACTAATTATAAAAAATGAACCTCTAAAAATGTTAATAGTTGCAGGAACTTAGGAGTCATATATGACTGTACGCTACGATTTCAAGAGCATGTCACCCTTTTAGTAAAAAAGTGCTATTTAGTTATGCGTCAACTGTATAGAAGTAAAGGCATTTTAAACTTTAAATTGCGTAAGTTACTTTGTGAAACTATGGTAATGTCAATTCTTAATTATGGGCTCTTGGTATTTTATCCTTGCTTAGATCAAGTTACAAAATTTAGGTTTCAAAAAATTCAAAATAATTGTTGCAGATTTGTCTTTGGCATAAGAAAATATGATCGTGTATCATGCAAAATAAAAGAACTTCAATGGTTAACCATAGATAATTTATACAAATATCACCTCGCCTCATTGATATATCGAATTATTTCGTCGTCAAATCCTATTTATTTAAGGAACAAATTAGTATTTCGTGGAGATGCTCATAATCTGGATTTGAGATATCCTCATAGTCTTATGCTGCCTAGGTATAGACTAGCTATTTTCCAGCGATCGTTTACTTATAATGCTGTTTTAGTTTTTAATAGTTTATCAATAAATTTAAGAGGTAAATCTCTTGATTTCGTAAAGCGGCATTATAAGAAATTTTTACTACAATCGCAGTAACGTTATTATTATTGTTATATAGTATATTGTTTGTCGTTATTGTTACTATTAGACATTTTTGTTTTTGTTTATCTTTTATATCATATCATATATCACACAACATCACAAATTATTTTTATTTAATTATTTTTTAAATTATTTTTTTAAAAAATATAAAATAAAATAAAATAAAAAATAGCCACATGACTATTTTTTCACTTTCAACTTTTTTCATTTTCAAATTATTTTAAACTAATTTTGTAAACTTGAGGTTAAGTGGAGTAGCTCAAGCTAGACTTCGCCTCATGTACCTAGTGTTTGTAAAATTTTACAGACTAAATAACGGCAATTTATTATTATTATTATTATATTTTTTTAATGTCTTTTAAATGTAAGTTAAAGATATCACGAGCAATTTTAATTCCATTAAAAGAAATACTTTGGTATCAGGTATGTTTGTCGATTCTAGGTATACAAAAAAAGGGCCATTGTTTTTTCAGAGTAAACATTGATAATTTTTTGTTCCTGTGTTTTATCATTCTGAGAAAGACATTGGACATTAGATATATTATTATTTATATTTATTACGGAATTTAAAACTATGTTATCAGGTGGCTTATGGTGCGGCCCTGTTCGTTATTCATAATCCGAAAAGCCACTCAGAGCCAATTTTATTATAAATAATATGTAAAAAAGAGAAATAACAAATTATCAAAATATACCTATATATAAAAAAATTAAAAGAAAATGTATTCAATAAATTAGGCTAATGCTCAACTTACCCAGACAAGACAATTTGGGTATGTAAGTAGAAAACACCTCGTATAACATAGTCGTTGTATGCGGAGCGATGTTCACACCACCGAGCACGATTCAAAATTGTTATGTAGACATGACTGTCTGTTCTTTCAATGTGCCTCCAGTAAGTTGTCATTCCATCGTTTTGATGGTCTTCCTATTGGTCGTATTCATATTGAGGAATAGTTTGTCGCTCTTTTTACTGCTTCATTTGTTGTCATTCTGCTTATATGATCGTTTCATTCTACTCTTCTTTTTCTTAGCAAGTCCTTGATGTTCTTCACTTAATCTCTGTACTTCTAGCTCTGTATATATGTACTTCTAGCTCTGTCCCATAGTCTCTTGACATCAATGTTTCTAAGGGTTTTTATCTTTGCTGTTTCTATCTAGTATTATTTTTGTTCTCTCTATGCCGGGTTGTGTTTCTGCAGCGTATGTCATTATTGGACTGATGACTATTTTGTAAATTCTGACATTAATTTCTTTCTAGATATTTTTAATCCTCCATATTGTTTTGGTCAGTCATTCTACGGCTCTGTTTGCACTATTCACTTAATCTTTGACTGATAAGACTCTTTGTGTGATAAGACTCTCTTTTTTTTTTCTTACTTTACTAATCCCCAGAATAACCTAATTCACTTTTGGGAGTTTTTTCCCCAATTTCTTCGAATCTTTCCTCGGTAGAGAGTTAATTTTTTTGACACACTTTGAGTAAGGTTGGTTTACAGTGGTCGGGTTTTTAGCATTTAAACACTGTGCTCCCTTGAATGTTGATGAGTATTCATATTTATTCCCACGAGTAGTTGAGTACCTTTGGTCGATTTCTGTAGAACCCCGCGTACATTAACAAGGCTGATATTAAATGGCATTTCGCTTAGTGTCTTAAGAGCATCATTAGCAGCCGCATGACGTACGACCATTTAGTTTTTAGCATGATAGCTTCCACCTTTACTTACGGCTTTTTTTACATCTGGTTTTCTCCATATTCTTGTTGGGTAAGATGGAGAAGGAAGGAAGGTGTAGATAGGAGTTTTATAGGTACTCGGGGGAGAAAGGTATTTAGGGAAAAAACCATGAGCTTATGAGTGCAGGTTTGCGATTCCTAAAGTAGATCTGTCCTCTGTTGGGATCGCAAACGAGTATTTATCCGGTACCCTGTAGTATATATTTCCATTTGGAGAAATTGGCCAAGAACCTGCGACAATGGCCTATGATAATTGCTAAATCACAGTGTCCAGGGGTAGAATTGGGGATTGGGATAGGATAATACTGGAATTTGGACTGGGTTTTTTTGGGTTATTGGTTATAGCAATTAATTAGGAGCTTACGTGAGCAGAGTCATTAGTTCCAGAAATACGTACATCCTCTATCAGGTTCGCAGAAGAGTACTAAACGAACAGTAGACTAAACGTATAAGGGAGTGGTATCCTAGATATCAAGCATGTAGAAGTACGAGTAGACCTGCAACATGGTGAATATAGAGTGGGTTACAACAGACTGGATTTATACGCCACACGATCGGGACAAATGGAAACAATTCATTATGTTCAACAGTACTCTCTACAGATGCTGTCTGATAGTGTGATGATGATAATAATATATGATAGCTCTAAATGTACATAGGAAAATTATGCAAAACAAGTGCAAGACAACTTTTTCAAATGTTCCAAGAAACAATTTCAAGATTTACCTTGTTAGATACAATAGTGTTTTCCAATACCATGCAAGGGTCTGCAAAACTTAATGAACAAAATAACGGAAACAAGTAGAAAATATGGAATGGCTATAAACACCAGCAAAACCAAGCTAATGATCATCAACAAGGAAAACATAACTGGAGCCAATATATATGTGAACCAAATGAGAATTGAACGTGTCTTGCAATACAACTACTTGAAAACTATAATCAATGAGTTGTGGGACAATACCCAAGAGATTAAATGTCACATCGGAAAGGAAAAAGTGCCTTCTTGACTATGAGCTTTGTGTTCAAGAGCCATGACCTCGCCCTAGAAACAAAATTAAGGCTTTTTAAATGTTATGTGTACTCAGTGCTTCTGTACGGAGTAGAAACGTGGACATTGAAAGCGGAAACTCTATCAAAACTTCAGGATTTTGAGTTGTGGCTATACAGAAGGGTTCTGAAGATACCATGGACAGACAAAGTCACCAATAAATAAGTACTGCGGAGAATGAACACAACTGCGGATTTGCTCAACATCGTGAAGGGCCGTAAGTTGCAGTACTTTGGACATATAATGAGAAATCAAGGCAGATACGAGCCACTTCAATACATTTTGCAAGGTAAAATTGAAAGAAAAAGGGCGCCAGGACGAAAGAGAAAATCCTTGGCTTGCTAACCTGAGAGCATGGTATAGCAAGACCTCAACACAGCTATTTCGTATAGCAACCAACAAAGTCATCATAGCCGGAATGATCGCCAAAGTTCAGAACGGACAGGCACCCTAAGAAAGAAGACAGCAAATATTAGTGCATTATTTTACTGATAATGATCACCTAGATGGTACGCGTGTGTTCAATTCAGTCCCGTTCCAAAGTCTTCCACAATTAAACTTAAAAGTTAAAACACGTGTAGAGGAATGGTAAGAGACTCGAATTTACTCTAAATACAACCATCTGTATTAATTTAGTTTTAATCATGTTTCATCATTATTTTTGGCTTAACAATCCTCTGTGGAACATTGCCTGCCCTAAGACTCGTCGCCATTCTATTCGGTTTCTGGCAACGTGTTGCCATCTACTGATTTTTAGTGTCTCTACGCCTTATTATATCAATGTCATCAGCATATGCTAATATTTGTATCGATCTATTGTAAATAATACCGTCATCTCCAATACGTGCATCTCTAACTAACTTTTCCAAGGCAATGTTAAATACGAGGCAAGCCAGGGCATCCCCTTGTCTGTGTCCGTCATTTATCTTAAAAGATCTAGATTTCTCTTCTTATATCCTAACACTGGCTTTTAAGTTAGACATTGTCATTCTCGAAAATAGGATAAGGTAAATACATACAAAAAACATACGCATTGATTGGTATAGTACTGTTCTCTTGACACTATCGTATGCGGCCTTGAATTCGACGAATAAGTGATGGGTTTCAATTTTAAATTCTAATGGTTTCTCGAGGATCTCTCTTATTGAATTAATCTGGTCAATTGTTGATTTTTCTGGAGTGAATCCGGCCTGGTATATTCCGAATATACCCACTGTGTAAACCTTTAGCTTTTCGTATAGAATATTTGCTAGTATTTTGTAAGTAGTTGTTAACAGGGTTGTACCTCTGTAGGACTCACACTGAAACTAATCCTCTTTTTTATGTAACGGATATATCAAGCCTTAAGACTATTCACAGAGCATGATCTCATTTTGCAAGACAAGAAGTACAAGTTTATGCAGTGTCTGTAGCAGGGCGTCGCCACCATTCTTATAGAGCTTACTGCAGATTTGACCAGTTCCTAGTGATTTATTATTTTTAAGCTTTTTAGTACCTTAAGCAAACTTTTTTAAGGTAGGCGGTCTTTCATGTAGGCTAAATAGATTCCAATCATTTCGATCTGCGAGAATGTTATCTGCTTCTTTGATATGATACCCATTCAATTTTGCGTTTAAAAATTCAACCCATCTGTTCAAGATTGAGGCTGTATCACTTAGGATATTGCCTTCTCCATCCTTACAGCTCCCTATTCGTGTCTATACTCTTTGCTCATTTTTTTAGATTTCTGTAGAACTTTCTAGTTTCGTTTTTTGGTTTCTTAGCCATTATATGTTTTCTAGCTACTTTTCTTCAAATTGCCTTTTTTTTCTTCCATATATTCTTTCTTCTTCTCTTCTTGGGGTCCGGTATTCCTCCTTTGCTTTTCTTGTTCATCTAGCTTGATTTGTCTTTAAGTATACTTTATTTTTGTTATCTGTTGCTTCTTGGCAATCTTTGGCAAACCATTTGTTTTGTTTAACTGGTTTGGTTTTCCCCAATATTTCCGTTACCTTCTCAGTTATTTGATCATGTTTAGGGTTTTTAAAAAAATTGAACTTTTTAGATCTATTAAGACCTTTTTATAGGGTTTTTATTAATCACAGATATATGTTATTACTATGTGCATAAATAAGGTTCTGATTATACGTCAAAAACATAGCTATGAACTTGATCGATAAAGAACTAAAACAGTTTTCATCGGAATACAAGTTTTTGAAAAGTGTTATTATTATGTGCGATTATAAATGTTCTGAACTACAAACTTTTAAAAAGTTATAGATCTGTTTTAAACTGATATCACAATGAGCTAATATTACTTCTAAGAAATAAGGAAACACCTATTCTTGGATATCCCAATGGGTTATATTTTAGTTATACCAGACCATTTGGAACATTCAAAATGATGTGGAATCTCTAAAATGCATGTATGTATGTGTGTACTTACTTTCATTCCTGCTTTCTTCTAGCTGTGTAGTAGGGGTACTTTTGATAGACTTTCCAATACTCTTAAATGTAGCAAAACTTCCGATGGCATTTTCTATAGCATTTTGTGCCTTCTGAACCCCAAGTTTAAATCCTTCATGATCGGGTCTAACATGCAGTCCTCTGTGGTAGAACATCAAACTTAGTTCAAAATCCCCAAGGTAGTAAAGAGCTTCAGCTTTCTGGTAGATGGCCTTGATAAAGTTTTTGTCGATTTTTAATGCTGATTCAGCGTCTTCCAAGGCATTTTTCGGTTGACCTAAAAGAATGTAACACTTGCTTCTCGCTACAAGTGCGTTCTTTTCGCTGGGGTTAAGTTCTAGTGCCTAAATAAAAAAAATCCACAATATAATTTTAATATATCTCAACATTACTAGAAAAAAAAATTAAGTATTTCACATAAAATATTGAAAAACAAAAATATTGATAACAACATGTAAAGAAATGTCACTCGATTTAATAATATCGACGAACTGAAGGAAAGAATCCGTACTGAAATTCATGCAATTCGACTTGAAATTCTTGACAACGTGCTGCGTGAATATAAACAAAGCTTGGCATGGTGTTAGTTAGTGAGGAGATCTCAACTTAAGCATCTTATTTAAACTGTTTTTTATTTAAATAAGTAATGCTTTGTTTCTCCTCTTAGAAATTAAACATAGTTTCTTGAAGCTGTTTACCAAATTTTTTAATTTTAACACCTTATATATTAAAAACTAGTAACTTTAGAGCGATATTGATGTAAGTTTAATTTTAAAAAATAAATAGATGACGTCATCACCTTTCTGAGTTACAGGTGCGTTGGTTTCTTGATTTAAGTTTATAGTATAACAAGAATAACTGAAGGATCACTACTAACTGATTTACGTGACTACTAATCTACTACTCAGTCACTACTAACTGATATGTTTGGTTCGCAAGATATCTAAATTTTAATAACAATGCACATATAACTCATAAGAGAAGTGTTGTCTTTAGTATTAATGACAGAGCAGTTAAGCTATAGCCCACAATACCATTCCAAAAATAAGAAAAAAGTTTCTACCAAAATTTTACAACCGTCTAATTAAAAAAGAAGTTGCATTATCAAAAATCAATCTAATTCCGATACCAATCCAAAACAAACCCAAATTAATGCCTAGCAATAATAATAGTAATATAACCGACTCAAACAAATACTATATATCTTTACCATACATTAATGGTTTCTCTCACCAAATATCGACAACGTTGGAAAAATATGACATCAATATTAAACATAAATTGTCAAGAATATCCGGAAATTTCTTCAAAATTTAAACCCAATGTTAAAAAAGATCATCAGTCGGATATTTTTTTATAAAGTAAATTGTAGACACTGTAATTCTACATATATTGGGCAAACACGCCAATATCTACATAGAAGGGTTGTTGCACACAAATATAGTGTAGAAACCAACAAAATCACTACAGCCTTGGCTAAGCATTTTCTAGAAAATAGCCATTCTTTTTACTTTGAAAATGTACAGATTTTAGAAAAAGAACAGAACTACAATAAAAGATGTAGTTCTGTATTGGAAATGATTTACATACAAAAAGACAAAAATTGTTTGAATTATACGACCGATATAAAAGATCTCCCCAATATGTTTCAAAAATTAATAAATTGGTCAGTATTTGGGAAATGAGTCAATACTCACAATCTTAAGTTGTTTTTATTATTTAGTGATGGTAAATTTTTGCCAAAATTTACCACTTCTGCAACTACTTAAGATTGTGAATATTCTTGTGAGACTCCTTTTCCATATACTGGTCTTATGGACTTACATTGACAACCTGTTCATCATCATTTTAATAAATTGAGTTGTTCGTACATGCCCTATTGGCAGTTTAAATGTGACCATAAAATTGTATTTCAAGTTTCAGCCATGTATTTTTATGATAAAATATAAGTTTTGCATTATATCACAAAGTGATCCCACGGCAGGGATGCTTTGGTTTCTTTTCAAATCCAACTGAATGGTATACATCCTAGTAGCCAGTTCACGATGGGGGTGGAAACTGATTAACCCCTACGTTTTTCCTTATCATAAATAAAATCCAATCCTAAGGTTTTTATCACTCTATCGAAAACATGCCCATACCAATAGTAACTCGCATGCCAACTCTCATCATCCACATTCACAAATTAATTCAGTCATTAATACCCTTGTCTCCAGATCAATACGCCTATGCAGTGATGCAGGTAGACCTGCTAAGCTGTCTAATTTAAAACAAGTTCTCATCCAAACTCAATATCAACCCAAAGACTCAGCCCCGCATCACTCAAATCGACAAAATTATTAAATCAACAGGAATAAAGACAATATTTACCCCTCGACAAAATTTTCATCTGTTGTCCAAACAATTAAAGATAACATTCCAAATGAGCAACACGGAGTTTATACAGTTCCTTGTGCAGACTCTCCTCGATTCTATATATGCCAAACAAATCGTAGAATCCAAAATAGGATTTATGATCATTCCATTTCTGTTGGTGAGTCCGATTCATTTTTAGCTCTAGGTCAACACCCTCTTTAAAAAGGTCACAAAATTGATTTTGAAAACTCCAGTCATAAACCAAGAATTATCCAAGAAGCCATAGAAATTTAAAACAAAGGCCAAATTGTCTCAATAAAAGAGATGACAACATACTGTTACCTTCGACATGGAAACGTCTTATAAGATCCGATAAGAAAATATCTCTTAAAGAAAATATCCCAATGCCAATCAAAATCTTACTGTCCACGCCAACCTCCACCCAAACCATGTCACCATCGACGGTATAAATGAACCGTCCGGTGTTACGAATAGGAGTAATGTATTGGTTAGTGATCAATGTAGTAGTATCTGGGGGCTCAAGAGACTGAGACCTCGGAAGCCCTGAATATCAGGAAGTAAGTCAAAAGCTGGGCGCAATAATAATCGACGCGGTTCAACCCGGAAGAGTTTTTTTGAGTTTAATATTAATTGTTGTAATAGTATTAACCTTAGCTTCAGGTTTAATATATATATATATACAAAATCAATCCGAGAAAACTACATAAAGAAAGAATTGCCTGCCAATTAGATAATAAATACTCCGCTCTGTTGTATCTGCAATAAATTTGCAGTATACCCATACAAAATAACTATAATAAAATAAATTGGTTTGATACAACTTTGGTCTCGCATGTCTAGACTTCCGTAATATAAATTTAAAAGCATGCAAGTTCTTAAAGACTGTTTGACAATGTTAAAAAATGAGTTTGATCGATAAATCACGAAAATGCATTTTTATTGTGGCTGGATACGGACATTTGCCATTTTATGATTGCTGCTACTAAAAATACATCAAGTTTGTCAATAAAACATGACATCATTGGGGATATACATTATGAAACTATGAAAATTCCAAGTAAACCAAATAAGTAAGATAATTGAATACAAAGGGTTTTATTGATAAAATTTATTTTTTTTATTAGGAATACATTTAGGAGAATCTTTTGATAACTACAATGTTCCTACAGAGACGCCGCGAATTCGGAGAAATCTTAACCATTCTGAATGATCTTCTATCTTTATTTTTCTTGTACTCTTATCTCTTCTTGTACTCTTTCTTGTACTCTTTCTATATTTCTTGTACTCTTAAGAGATTTTACTACCTGCTGTAGGAACCTGCATGTTTTTCTCCACTGCTTCATTCTGTTTATGTTTCTGATACAATGATACTTTACTTCACTTTATCCTATCCTGACATGTCATTCATAAAATGTCGGCCCAGTATCGAGCTACGTCGGTTCCATCTTTGTTGGCGAGCCACAAATCTTCAAGGGTACATCGATGAGGACAGTTTCTGCGTGTAAGAAGATGTTCCATATTCTGTAGTTCTCTACAGTCACAGTTCACATCATCTTGGTCTATTTTTCCCCATTTTGCCATGTTTGATTTTACTGTAGCGACCCTCGTTCTTATCCTATTCAAAGTTTTGCACGTTTTAAAGTCTAGGGTCAGGCCGGTCCAATGAAGCTGGGGAAGTGGAAAAAACTCAGGCGGTTCATCCTGCACTGTTCCAAGGAAGCTTTTCCTAGATTTTAGTCGCTTTCGTGGTGTTCTAGCTTTGTATAGGGCATGCCGCTCGTCCGCGATTTGTTTAATTTTCTCTATGTGTTCTGCAGCGCCTCTGCGTGTTGAGGGTTCTGCAAAACCCGCTGCTCTATACAGATTTGAAAGTGGCGTTGGTTTCATGCACCCCGTTACTATCCTGCATGTCTCATTAAGCGCAGTAATAACTTGTTTGGTGTGGGCAGATCTGCTCCAAACGGGGCACGCATATTCAGCAGTTGAGAAACACAGTGTCTGTGCCGTTGTTCTTAAAACGCCAGGACATGCGCCCCTTTTACTTCCCGTTAGCTTTGTGAGTATGCTGCTCTTAGTTGTTACTTTCCCTCTCGTTTTATGCAATGTTGTCTGTAGGTGAGGGACCGGTCCAGAGTTACTCCAAGATATATAGGTTGGTTTGTGTGTTCTAATGTATTACCATTCCACACAACTTGGAGTTTTCGCTTGGCTTCCTTTGTACGAAGGTGGAAAGCACAGACTTGGGTTTTAGACGGATTGGGTCTCAGAGAATTCTGCAGGTAGTACGGTGTCATTGTTTTTAAGGCAGTTTTGAGTTTCTCCTCCACTTCTTCAAAACTATTTCCTTGAGCACATATGGCAAGATCGTCAGCATAGAGGAAGTGCTTGGTTTCGGTCGGAGTAGGTTGGTCGTTCGTGTATATATTAAAGAGCATTGGTGCTAAAACACTTCCCTGCGGGAGGCCATTTTTGAGCTCTCCACCTACTTACTTTACCCTCCAGCATAAGGAAAAAAACGTCTATTTTGCAGCAAGGAATATACGACCTTTCCCAGATGGTGGTCATTGATATTGTCGTATAGTTTGCGGAGCAATGTTTTGTGCCTTACTGTGTCATAGGCTGCTGTCAGATCTACAAAAGCAGCACCTGTTATAAGTTTTTCTTCAAAGCCGTCTTCAATGTGTTTTGTTAATGAATCCTCCTTGTTGTGGGATGAGGTGCTTGTCGACATTTTTTTCTATTCTGGCGAGTATCAGTCTCTCGTATAGTTTAAAAAAGTGACACAATAACGAAATATGACATGATTTTGGAATTTTGCAGGTTTTGCAGCACGTGACACAATGATGACATTGTGATGGGCATTGTCTACAACCACTACACTAAAATCTGATCTAAACTTCTACGATCTGGTATGTTAGAAATAAGTTTTTCATGTATCTATTTTTTATAATTATTATAGTTTACCTTC